GGAAATGCAGGTACATCCAACTGACGAGTCCCAAATAGGACGAAATGCGCATCCTGGATTCCACTGTTAGTCACCATCCACCAATTAAAGTTATTATTTTTGTTGTTGTCTTAGACTATCTATGAGGAGTTTCAGTCTCCTGAAGTCTATATATAATAACTGAAATCTTATAAAGATGTAATCGCCTCATAATTGATTACATTTGAATACTTAATACCAGTCACAGCATACCTTTATACTCCAATACACTTTACTCATTCAGCAAGTTAATAACCTCGCATTAGTGTTGATGATAATGGTTTGTATATCTGTGTGTGTGTGTATGGGTGGGTGGGTGTGTGCGTACGTAAGTACCTATATGTGTTTATATTCCTGTTAATCATTGCGTCTCACTCATTCCTTTATTATTAGTAGTATGTTTTTGATTTTGTAGTTATCATCTTAGCGATGAAACCACTTTGAAAGAGAGAGAGTGGTTTTTTCGTTTGTCTCTTCTGTGCGCACATCTAACTAACGTATACAGCACAAGTGCTTCTTCTCATTATTATCTTACCGTACTATAATTTTGCATTGTTGTGCATGTTTTCATTCGTATATCTAAACACTTCAACATATATATATATATATATATATATATGTATATATAAAATCGAAATGTTTTGTGAATATCATTTACATATATCTATCTTTCTATCTACCTATTTACCTATTTATTTGAATGGTAAACTTGAGTGTATAACAACTTTGCATATTATTCATTATCAATACTTAGATTAATGGTACACATGTTCTCTTTTTGTTTATAAGTGTAACTTATTGGTTAGAATACATCAATATAAACTCGGTATTCTGTAAGCAGTTGTGAGCAAATTGGGTCTTGTGTCTTGATTTATTACAATGAATGAAAAGTAAATGAAAGCTCAATAACACACTTCTTTGTGTAAAGAAAAGTAGCTTTGATTCTTATCTGTACTAACTCATTACAGGATAATATTTCTATTAGTCAGGTTTTAATCTGTAAGTTGGATTTCATTGTGTACTGTTTTTTCTCCTCTTCTTAAACTAATTTCATTATAACTACTAAGAGTTCTATTATCAAATGTTTTAAAATATTAAAAAAAAACATTTATTCATCTTTATGATGTGTGTAACTGGAGAAGGTGAGAGACTTGATAAGGGACCTTTATTGAGGAAAAACACATCATATTTATACATATTTATCTACAATAAATATGTTCGGTTAGGTCAGGGAGGACTAAATTGTTCTGATTGGCTGGCAATTGGCCCAAGGTTAAATAAGTTGTCCAATCAGGTTGCTTTATGTCCATAATGTAAACTAAATCCAGATTTGAGGAATAGGCACGTTTAACTCTGAAGCCACTGACTTAAAAATGTTGATTTCAGTTTTAGCTGCTTTCCATCAGTCTGAATCACGCTACAATGGTACTTGCATTGTCCGCTGGAACCTTTTGTTTCAATGTTTTGATTTTCCAATTAAATTTAAGTTTGTGTGTGTATGTGTGTGTGACTTTATGTTGAGGCTGTTGTTATGTACAGGAGTGAACTAATGTAAAGGATATTTCACTTATTTTTCAAGTTTCTAAATCTTCTAGATTTTAATATTTAACGGAGAAACATCATTTTAGAGCTCTTTTTATACCCTCATAAATCTTCATTGCATGTTGTTTCTGGTATTTTGCTGGGAAATTCAAGACTCGAATCCTGCTTTTGCCTGTTTTCAGCCTGAGCAACTGACGTAGTATCATCAGGCTTCACACAATAATTGTGTAGCTCATAACCTGGTACATGAAAAACCTGTTCCGGATAACAGAATTCAAACAAACATTGAGTTATTTTGTATAATCCGGTTGATCTTTATCCAACATCAATAGTGTCAACTGTTATCATTGAATATATAGTGTATGATAACCCATAGTTGTAAGAAAGAATCTTTTCCTTGGTCATATATTTATTGGAAATATTCATAATTCAACCAAGTCACCGTCTTTCTCGACTAGCAGTGTCTGCTGATATAGGATTATTATGTAAAAATGGTTGTGGATTGGTTAAATCAAAACCCGACATCAATCCAGTGAACTTTCTGATAGTTGGTTTGAACCAGCCATGTAAGGAGGTCCTCTGGGTGATAAGAACCAATATGATGAAGAAAATTTGTAGCTCAGGTGGATGACTTTGATGTGGTTATGTTCTTTGACCTGGATAGTTAATTTGCGAAGCATTCATAACCCTACTAGGAAACATCTTCAGCGCATTCTTCAATTTGAAGTGGGCTTTTAGATTTCTCCACGAGTTTATTAATCATCTCTCCTGGTGACCTTTGACGTGATTGGTTGTTTTTGTCTGTTTTTACACCTTCTAGGTTACTTGTATTGGAACTGGTTGTTTCTTTGACTTGAACTTTGACCCTTTCTGTGCGAGGTTTTCTTCTTATCGGTTGATAAATTTTGTCTATCTCGATGTATCTATTGATTGATGGTTCACTGGAATACCAGACTTCTAAAAATTCTCTAGCATTTTTGTTGTTTCCTCTGTTTAATATTCTAACCTTGTCCCAGTCGAATTAATGTCCGTGGTTGTCTATATGTAGTGATATGAGGGAATGGATGTCATGTCCTTTGACGGCTAGCTTATGATCATGGATACGAAGACGAAGGGGACGTCCACTTTGACCAATGTAGTGTTTTTTGCAGTTGTTACAATTTATTTTGTAGATGATGTTGGTTTCATCTTCTTTCGATGTTGAGTCTTTTGGTTGACATAGAGCCAGCTGAGTGAAGTGATCTTGTTGGTTTGTGTGAGACGTCAATTCCTAAAAGTTTGAAGAGTCTTGTTGTGATTTCTGAGATGTCCTTTATATATGGTAGGGTGATTTTCTTTGTACTTTCTCTTGGGGTCCTTTGGTTTGATAGGTTGGCTTGGCTGAAGACTACTGATGTGATATGGCTTATAATTGTTGTCAATAGCGCAGATGCATTCACTCTTTGTAATATTTTAGTTTCATTAAACCGTCATGTTTTTCTATTTTACTATTTTTTTTTACCGCATGTTTCTGCTTACTGTAGTTTTTTTTTTGAATGTCTGACTTTCTTCTCCCTTCCTCACCTCTGTGTGCTACATGGATTATGAATTTAAAGTCAATCTGAACGAAGAATATTCTTTTCAATCATTTCTCTTCAGGTTCTCACAATTATAAAATATAATATTTGTTGTCGTTACAATAATAATAGCCAGTTATCCGGTGGATACATTTTTAACGTAGAATAACAGATTAGTTAACTTAGGGTGTCAAAATAAATAGTCGTATTTGTGCGACAAACGTGCTAGGCTGAAATCGATTACAAAATATTGTAAAATGGGAATGGGAGACAATGGTGGTGATTAGTCATCATAGATAGCTTCGTGGAATGTGGGGTAGGAAAAATTGAGAAGTGAGTTTAAGGTTATAAAAGGTGTCAGGTGAGTGGCTAGTACAAAATGGTCTGTATTAAACAGGAGACAGTGTGACTGCAACAAGAGGTTCATAATGAAATAACGAATGTGTGAAATGAAACAGGCAGAGAGGCATATATTGAGAGAAGAGATAATATCAAATCCTCCATGCAATCAAACAAAATCCCTACAACAAACCAATACTTAAAAATTCATCTGATGCTCACTAGTGACTGGCCCTATTCAGGCAGTTAACCTGGGGTTCTAGTGGGAAGCCGTGACCAGTAGGGTACAGCAGGTTGAAGATGAGGCAGTAACTCATCGAAGAAGACATTGCGAAGTGGTCGCGCTATGTCGTGAACTGGCAGAAGTTAGAATTCAAGGACCATTGGATCGGGTCCCAGTGGCTCAATGGTCTACGAGCTCGCCTTGTAACCAGAAGGTCCTGGGTTCGAATCCCGGTGGGTGCGTACTGCTGAAGAGTCCCAAACTAGGACGAAACAGCTGTCCAGTACTCCCAGGTTTTCCAGTGGTTCTCTAACTGATGTCAGCTCATGATCAAATCCTCCATGCAATATTACTAATAATAAGTCCGGATAGTATAAATGGAAAATTCGGTAGTCTTGAGAGAATGTTTACATGAAGGGCATAAATTATGTGGAATAATAATAATAATTGTAAGAATAAGCAAAGGAAAAAAACCAAGAGGGAGAAGTTTTGGTGATAAGATGAATCATCAATCCAAGTTTGGCCAAGGTAGGAATAGCGTCTGGACGTGTTTTTCTCATAAATACGACTATTTACTTTGACACCCTACGATAACTAATCTGTTATTCTACGTTAAAAAATCTATCCGCCGCATAACTGGCCATTATTGTAACGACGATAGATATTATATTTTATAATTGTAAGAACCTGAAGAGAAATGATTGAAAAGAATATTCTTCGTTCAGATTGACTTTTAATCCATAATATGGGAATATTTCACACTATATGGATTATGACAGCCTGAACGGGTGCACTTCTCTATGCACAGTTCTGCGTTGAAACTCCACCAATCAGTCAATCTTCTTTTTTTACGCATTTCTAAAACATTACCATTTTTATCATCATTAACATTATCTCTCCAATCTACATTGATATGTGGAATTCTACTTTTTATGCATATTACTATTAGTAAGTAATCTGTCATAATAGATAACACTTCATATTCAGTGTGAACGTGGATTCTAATGTATGTGTGCGTATGTACACACACATACATACATACATATCCACTACATTGTAGTGGATATGAATAAAACTCATAAGTAATCATTATTACTTATCATCATCGTCATTTTGTGGTATACATTTTGTTCTCTCTCATTTAGATTATTTCCATTCAATTAACATTAATATTTTTTCACTTTCTCATGCATATATCCTGAAAAGTATTCATATTTCATATATGATTTTGTGTTTAAATTAACCATTGTCATTCTTTTATAGACTAACACCTGTTTTATTTATCTTAACTCCTCTTTTTCCTTCTCTAACTATCCGTTCAGATTCATCAATGAATGAATCGTCAAATAATAAACCTATAACTATAACACCAAAATCGAAAAATATTGATGCAAATGGTGGTGTTATATTCAATCGTACAGGATCACAAACAAGTAATTTAATCCTGGTTGATAGACGTAGTGGTCGTCGGGATCGTATAAAACGACCTGAAGTATTAGGAAGATCAGATTCATTGAGTAGTTCCACTTTAGAAGTATCATCTCATATGGAGGCAAAGAATAATCCAGGAAATGCTGCACTAGTCATCAATTCAAATGTCAATGGTGGTTTAAACAAGAATCAAGGTAAACTCGTCGTAACTAATTCTAATGATTCACCTGTGTATGATGAAACTATTAAAAGTCCTGTTACAATAAAAGTTTCAAAGGCTATTCATTCTGAGCCTACACATTTTATTCGTGTTGGTTCACAAAAGAGTGAGTTACTGCTACAAGATCGACGTAGCAAACGAGGTAATCGTCGTTTGCCAGTCAAAATGGTGGGAAATGATGCTGAAGAAGTAGACAGTTCATCACATGACTTACAAAAGTTGAATTCAACATCTATAGTTTCGTCGACTAAGTCTACAAACGATACTAATTTTATGGACAATCAGTTATTTTTGAATAAGCCAGAAAAGAATATAGTTAAAACGGAAATCTCTTCTCCTGATCTTCTGTCAGAAGCTTCTCAATTCAATCCACTTTCTGATACTTATGATATTTCGACTCCATTATCTCTTTGTGAGGAATTTTCTGATCAGCTAACAGAATCACAAATGAATTATTCTAGTACAATAAATGGAAAGATGATGTCAAGCGAAGTTTTACCTCCACTAACTAAAACACCATTAACTTATGGGAATTTCAGTGATTCAATTGATGAAGTACATACTTGTTCAACTACTCAAAAGTCTTCCGATCACTTTGGAACTCTGATTAACGAACAGCGAGATACTATCTCAGCGAACGCTGGTTGGAAAGAAAAAGGAGAAGAAAAAGAGGAAGAAGCATACTTATGTTCGTTAGTTCTTTAGATAATTTTTCTTCTGTATATACTATAGAGTGCGTCGGTGGCATAGCGGTTAGGACACTCGCCGACCATGCACATGGTGCGGGGTTCGATCCTCGGTTGACACACTCCTTTACCTCGCTAAGCCAGAAATAATTCTGGTAAAGAGGAAAGGTTGGACATGGAGCTAGCAACTCCATCCTGTAAAATTAAACACTGCTACAGAAACTTCAAGCCACTAGCTTTAGGCCCTATGTTTCACTGGGGAACGTGAAGGAAAAAAAATACTATGGAAGTAGTCTGAGGGATATTCGCCTTCATAAATTGAAAGCCTACAATTTACTTTATTTAAAAAGCAGTAAACCGATCAGAACTGGATGAGCAAAGTAAAAATCAAGTTATAAGTCATTACTACAGATAATATAAAACAAACAGAAAGGAATATCTCAAAACTCATACATAAAACTACTTGTTGTAGTTAGAATTGCTCGCTTTACCACGCACAGAAAAGTCATATGACTAGATGAAAAACGAATAAGTCAAGGTTGACTGGATGTTCCGAAGTTGGAAATAGATATATTCTGTATTGAGTCACTTGTTTAGGCAGTTAGCTTCGAATCACTGAGTCACGGGTTCAAACTGTGTTTCACTTACCTAGATTTAGACATGATATGAATGGATCATTGCAAAATGTTTGTTGAATAATGAGCTTCTATAAGTCGACCCCCTACTATCTTAAAAATTCCAGTCAAGTTAGCTTACTCTGTCCTAAATTTAACAGACTAACAGTCAGTTTTAGAATTACTGGTACGTCCCTGTAACTTTTATAGGAAATAGATAGTTTCTATGACTCGGGTTCAAGTCTCAGAAGGGACATGAGTTCTTCCAAAATTGCAGATAGGTTTTGCTAACGAGTACCGACAACTACGAAATCTGGGTCCAAGGCTGTCTGCCGACCGGTTGTTACCATCTCACAACAGTTCATAGTGTATCGTGATAGTGAGCCACCTAGCTTGGTGGGTACAATGCAAACGTAGGTGATGATCTATCGTTTCTAATTAGGTCTGAAAAATTTGAATTTCACTAGCTTTTAAAAAAAGGTGATGATATAACTCATTGTGTATTAGAATGTTCAAAATAAATTTGTCCACATTCACTTGAAAATCATACGATCCTAAGGGTGAGAGTGTATGGATTTTACCATGAACCCCCACCAGTTAGAGAACAACTGGAAATTACTGGGCATTTGTCTGGCAATAGTTTGAGAACCTACACATGCGGGCAACTATTATCTCAGTATAGGTCAGTCGTAAAACCTCTTAGTCAAGAACCAGTTTTAGCTTCTGTTGGTCCTCATCGCACAACCAGCGCCATCGAATGCTATCTGTGAATATCCATTCGCATACCCAACTCGATGGACTGCATCGATCACAATTTCTTATGGGAGCTTCAGAACGTCTATCCCCTAACACATTTTACCTAACCTAACTCAGTTCCATATTATTTTAATAAATTCTCTCATTCAGTAACTGAGTCGATCATACGATACTGCTTTTATAACATGAAATGTTTAATATTTGCTCTATTACCTTGTTTTCCTAACATCATTCAATATTCTATGGTATAAGTTTAATGTTTGCTCACTTCTAACAGTCATCACTGACTGGAATTTCTTAATAAATATATAACCCTCATTACACCAACATTAAAATAAGATCTTCGGCTAAGAAAGTTCTTCTTGTAAAGTTATCCTTTTCAAAGGTGTATAATCATCTATATTTGTTTTAGAATGGGTTATGACAAACTTGTTTGCATCTATTGTAAGCTACAATCTTGACAGTTACTGAAAATTTCACAGTGAAATATTAGTGGTTATACTATGTATAACTTGTAAGTCGATTGGAAAATTCAGGGTTCATCAGTATGCAGGGTCATCGGTAGTCGTCACTTTTGTATACACGAAAATAACCAACATGTTTATAACAGCTTATTTATTTGTTACATATATCTGAATATTTGGTTGGCAGCTAACTAAATATAGTATGGGGCTGTTGCCCATTAGACTAGGCAGTGGACCTCCAACTACTAGGTCACAGGTTCAGACGGTCAGATAGTATCACTAGCCCTTACTCAACAAGTGTATCTCACTACCTCACAACTGCATGGTATTGCTAGTGATTGTTGAGTTAGTTGATAAACTGAATAGTTGCTGATAGCTAAACACAATCCCAAGGTTCCTAAACGCATAAATATTTATTAAATGTCCGCTGTTTGTAATTGATACACATAAAACTTTGCGCCTTAATCCTGCATTGCCTAAATAAATGGTAGTTCGGCCTCTACCAGTTGGTGTTCTGTCTTTAATAGCTATATTTCCAGTCATTATGAAACATTAGATCAGTGCACATTACACTTAATGAGCAAATAGATATTTTTGTATAACTAGTTTTACAGTTTTACAGAATTAAATTCAGTCACCCGTAGTTATGCAACGTAGGACTTCAGGAACTAAGCGAATTATTTCTGATGTAGCTCCACAAGTAAGTGGAATGATCAACCTTCACGAATATTTTAACTTTTTTGTGTCAGATAGGGTGTCGGTACAAATAAATCCTGAAAAAAATGACTGGAACTCGAAAAATCAGAACAGCATCTCATACATGCCTTCTCGAAGTTCTATTCAAAGTGTTCTACAGACACCATTACCAATTTCTTTTAAGGTCAATTTTTGTGCGAACTAAGGCTAAATTTTTAACTAACACACAACTGTATCTACTGTAAATCTAAGTGAAAATGGTAAAAATGATGAACATCACTCAGTGTAAACATCATAAAGACTAGTTTACAGTAAGCTCTGAGAAGACTGTGACTACTAAATTGTGACAATATTCATTCAGACATCTAGAAAAAACCAGAAAATTGAATAAGAATATCCTTTTCGATAATTTCCTCTTCTGGCCCTACAATTATATATATATATATATATATATATGTATATATATATGAGGAACTTAATAATATTAAAAGGTTGCTGAGTGAAAATGGTTATCCAGAAAAGTTCATTGATAAGAATATGAATCGAAAATCAAGGCAGCCCAAAGTACCAACAGTTCCTAAAAAGGCCTTATTCTTACAAATTCAATCCCTCGGGGATAACATCAGCGAGATACTAACACAACGCCTTAGGAATGCCGTAAAAACATCATTCCCTGCCGCCAAACTACGCTGTCTTCAAAGCAACCCTGCTATTTTTCTTTCGGAAGCAAAAGATAAACTGCCTAACGTCACCTCTTCCATGTGTATCTACCATTCTGACTGCTCCACTGGAGCCAGTTACACAGGCTGTATAATTAGGCGTGTTTTTCGTTGGATTTCCGAACATCACCCTGCATAGTGGTTAAGTAAAGGACAAACAAATTCCATTCATAGACATATTTTGTTTCATATTATGGATACAGAACACAAGATTGATGTTAACGAGGCTTTCAAAGTCATTTACTGCATATCAACAAATCTTAACTTCACCTTAAGAGTTCGTTTACTAAATATTGCTGAGGCCGTTGGGATCCATATTAAGAAGACTAATTTATCTGTCCAAAAGAAGCTAGTTCAGACATTGTCCTTACTCTGGCCATCAAGGTTCGAACGATCCTCAATTTTTTGTAGAAATTTCCTTGATTTTAGTTGATATTCTGTTTACTATTATATTTGTGTGCTTATTATAATTTATGCGTCTTTAATGAACTGTAACTCCATTGATCTTACTTAACAAATCGATATTATTCAAAAATCACTAATATTTGCAATTAATAGTGTTCTGTGAGCTAGTTGGTTTAGTTGCGGAGCTTTCGCCGTCCTTCTAGACAACATCTTCAGCGCAGTATTTAGCATAAAGTGAAATCATTTAAATTTTTCTTCATGAGTGATATAATTGCGTCTCCCGGTAACCATCTTTACATATGTATTGACCGTTTTCTATTGACTTGGATTTTAAACTTTCTGGTCATCTGATTTACTTTTTATTAGTTGGTATATTTCGTCTATATTAACGTGTTTGTTAATTGCATATTCGATTGAGTACCAGGCTTCTAGGAATTCCCTGGCACTTTTGGTGTTTCCTCTGTCTAAGCTTTCGACATTTTCCCAATCAAATTGGTGTCCATATTTGTCTACATGCATTGATACTAAAGAATTTATATCATGTCTTTTCACGGCTGACTTGTATTCTTGGATTCTTATTCGAAGAGGGCGCCCACTTTGGCCGATGTAATGTTTGTTACAGCTCATACAATTTATTTTGCAAATGGTATTAATTTTATCTCCTTTTTCTATTGGATTGTTATCGACTACTTGCTATTCTAGAATATCCTATGTATGTAAACATATATATAATTGTAGAGCGACAAGAGGAAATTATCGAAAAGAATATTCTTTGCTCAATCATTTTGGTTTTTTACTAAATTGTGCACAGGCACGAAATATGTTCTACTAACTCAGTGTCCCTATCAATCTCCCAACATTCAGGTAATATTTGAAGTCCATTTCATTCACCTCGAATCCCCCTTAATGCGTAGCTAGACAACAGGTTACTTTAAAGCCTAAAATTTTAGATAATATTCTTGTTAATGTAATTCCCTTTTTAGTTATTATAACTAAGTGTTTTCGTTTTATGTGACACTGAAGCATTAAACAACTTGGAAATCAGTAGGGGAGAGGTGTGTTTGACTTATAGCTTTTGGCGCTACTACTTAAGTGAATCTAATTATTTTAAACTTATATTTTCACTTATTTATATATATATATATACGCTATTTATGGTGTTATATACTACTAATTGATTGAGATAACTAGTTCTATATCATTCACATCAACCTGTAGTGCTTCCTACCCATGTCGAAGTGATCTAAACATTGGACGGTCGTTTCGCATATTTGGGGTCGAGCTCATTATCTGTAGACCAGGTATGAATCAAACCAGAGAGTATAAATCAGTTCAAACTGGCATGAAT